GATTGTAGACCGGTTCAGTGTCTAGAACCAAAAATTCTACCGGGAAGTAGAACTTGTCCACCTTGATGAGTACATCCTCAATGATACCATGCAATTGTTTGACGAATCTATCCGTAAGTTTCAAGACAACCAAGGTGGGTTTGAGTTCTCCTAAGCCAAGTTGCAAGTAAACTGAGTAGGGAATCAGATTTACACTCGCTCCTAAGTCAAGAAGGGCCTTTTTCTATCTCGTTGTCTCCAATGACACATGAGATTTTTCAGGGCACCCGAATCCTTTAACTTTGGAGGTATATTGTACTGAATGATAGCACTTGCTTGCTCAGTCAACCTTACCTTCTTAGGAATATTGCTCTTAAAAATGTATTTTTGAGTACACAAATCCTTGAGAAATTTAGCATAAGGTGGAATTTGCTTTATGGCATTGGTGTGCTCCAAGGCCTAGTGCTCAAAATGATGTAAGAAGTGTGAGTGTGTGAAGTGGCCACCACATTTAAAAATTTATAAAAACCACTAAATATTATACTATGTAGTGTGAGTGAAAAGGGATCATCCCAAGGGATTTGCAAGGTATTTTGGAATCAAAGTTGGATTAGTATGTTGAATGATCAATGGAGTGGTTTGGTTGGTTGGTTGAATTAAACTGCAATTCAATTAAAAGAAATGGAATGAAGAACAAACTAAAGTAAATGAGGTGTAGAGAATGAAAGAGAGGTCTTGGGACATAGAGGTCACTACTAAGCTTTACCTCACCAAACAACTAGTATTTGTCAATTAAGGGGGATTTAATGTTGCAAAACAAGTGTGTGTGTGTGCGCGCGCGCTCTAATAATTGAAACAATAAACATGGATGACAAACAAGCATAAATTGTCTACCTAGACTAATGTGTAGTACAACTCATCAAGTCAAGCCATTAATCCATTCAATAAACCAACAATTGTGGCACACAACAATTCTAGAAAAATGAACACTTTACAAATATAAACATGGACCATCAAACACAAGCATAAATTGTCTACTTATCTAAGAAGTCAAATCAATTACACTACAATTATACTAATGACAAGAAAATTAAACTAATTAAGCTAAGGTTGTAGTACAATCCATCTAGTATAAGCATATTCCATTAAATAAATCACAAGTGTAGCCAATAAGCACCATGCCTTAACCCTAGGCCCTCACTTCTAATACACATTGACATGTATCAAATGTATAGAATCTAATGTAGAGACATAATCATCCATTCCATCACACATAGACATGCAAATGAAATTAGAAGATTAATTGGAAGCATTAAATCACACAAATCATGTAGAAACAAGATTTATATAAACATGAGGTCATTACAATATTTACAACATAAATCCCCAATAATTACAAAATACTAGAGTTTATGAGGCAAGCTTAGGGCTATCTCTAGCCCCAAGAGAATGATCTAGCCACTCATGGTAGTTGTCTTCCAACCCTCAAGGGTTCTCTTCATGGTTGAATTCATCTTCCTCCCTTGGTGTTCTTGGTAGAAACCCTAAAAAATGGAGAGAGAATTCCCCAAAAAATTGTGTCTAGTCCCCTCTAATCTCTAGCCAAAAACCCAACTAACCTCTTTTGCTAAAAATAGCCAATTTCCTTATATAGGTAGCTCAAATGACACCCCAAATGGTCAAACCTTGTGCACTAGGACTTCCAAATGATTACACCACGAGCACACCTAAAGAAATTAATTAATTAGTTTAATTAATTTTTTTTAAGTGTTCTATTCATTTAAATAAATATTTGACTTGATATATTTAATGACCATGTTATGATCTTCGACATATATTAATTAGGGATTATTTAGATAAGATTTAAAATCTAGAGAAATTAATTATTTTATTTAATTAATTTCCATTTTGCTATATTAATGATTTAATCATGTATTTTGTAATGAGGACTTGAAACTTGCTTCATAATTAGATTAATATATTTCATAAGTTGACTTGTATTGTAACTTAGAGATTTACATTATAACTTGTAGATATGTAGTGTTTATGTATAAATTATGTCGTGTGTGTGCCACTTAGGCCTTAGGAGCATTGTGGTCATCATTCGATCAATAAACACGCATTTGATTTTAACCTATGTATGCACTGCATACATAATGAGTTTGAAAGATGGACGCCATCCGAATATTGAAAAAAGTGGGCATCGCATCCGGTGGGTTGAAAGTCCTGCAATACACTTGGCCAGTGGGGTGTGGAAGTGCACCAATTTGTTTTCGTATTCCGGACTTGATTCCGACATTTTTTTTTGTCACATGCATCATAGAGTACATGTGTGAGTTGAACCCCTGGTTCCCCTTAAGGATTCCTCAGTTAGACTTGGACCAGCCTTTGCAGGTGTGGCCCCTTCCGAATTGGTAAAGTTTTATCCTTCCGATACGTCTTCCCTACCCTTTAATTCAGAATTCCCTCTTATTTCAAAGAAGGGAAAGAAAGTAAAACCCTCCTTCAGTATAAGGAACTGGCCACCATACCGTTCCTCTTGGACTTCTTGGGTGAGTCGTCTTTCCAAGGATGAGAAGATTTCCTTACAATGGAAAAAATAAGGTATCTTTGACATTATTCAAATTAGCAAGGCCTCCATCACACTTGACCCAAATCTCCTCTTTCCAGCCCTTTTCTTCTGGTCTACAACCACCAATGCCCTTCATCTCAAATGTGGAATGAAGTTGCATGTAGTATAGTGTTTCCCTATTATAATTCCTTCATTCCAAAATAGGAGAATGTGGGTCCTTGCTTTAAAGATGGCAAGTCCTAATTAGACTTGCCTCTTTCCTTTTTAAAATAAAAGACTCCATGTGGTGGATTTTGATGGGTCCACGTATTCCTTGCTTCCTCATGAGATCACATAATTTTAATACTCTAAATAGAATTCTTCCAGAGTTGCAATCCAACGTGGCAAGTTCTATTAGAACTCGCCACATACCTCTTCATTATTGGTAGATCGTATCCAATCTACCTTCAACAATTCCACATCATATGTTCCTCTTTTGGACATTTAAAGCACGAATCCGGTGTGGCAAGCTCATTGGAACTCACTACGTGTCGCATTTCCATTGGGCCAAAAATAATGGAGTAAACATATATATATTTAAAAAAATTAGAAACATGGATTGTAAAGATGATGAACATAGATTATTGAAAGAACCCAGTTGTGTGGTTCTTCACCGCCAGCAAAGGATAGATTAGATTGTGACTGCTATTGGGTGGTCCTTCACGGTCGGTTATCTTCAACTAGCGAGTTGATGACAGGGGTCGAATTGAACGAGCCAAAATTGTGAGTTCACTCAGTGGTGAAGCAAAAGTTGAACCCAAAAGAGCCATTCTTGTTGAGGTTTTCTGTATGTTGTCGTTAGTGAGGAACTCAAAGGGAAGCTAAAGGAATTTGTGGTGACACGCAATCCTAATCAAATGGCCTCCACAATTAACCAGATAGATGGTGGTTAATCCACAAATCGAATGGCCTCCACAAATCCTAATATGTGAGTAACGCAGCGCATGGCTAGGATTGCTCTGTGCTAATTGATTCAATTTTTGGATAAGGAGGAGAAGATATTTTTTTTTTTTTTTTTTTATCCTAGCAATAAGAAAATAGCTATACGGCATCTACAAAGACCGCCATAACTGGCTGTACAAAAGCAAACAAATCATGAAGTAATAAAAGAAAAAACTGAAGAATGGCTCCAGATTTGTTAAGAAACAATATAATAGCGAAAACTACCAAGGGAGACAAAGCAGCAACGGGAGTGACCTAAAGATCAGGTCATCATCAAGGTAACTGCTCCAAGGTTGCATCCATAAGGCGCCGCCGACTGGGGAAAAAATCACCCAAATCTCACACAAGAGACGGGGACAACAAAACCCGACATAGATCAGAGATCTAGCCGGAGACAAACAACAGATCCACCCCGTCGAGCCAGAAACAAGCCAAATAGGAGCAGATCTAGCAAAATAACATCAACGGTGTGAAACCCACCCATTGAGCGAACTACTTACAACACACCGACTTTATTAAGTGGTGGGAGGTGAGGATCGGCACCTCCCCACTCCCATTGGAGGGAGTGGGAGTGGGGAGCAAAACAGAGGGAGAGAAAGAAGGGGGCGGCTGAGGGTTAGAGAGAGGCAAGAGAAAAAGTAGAGAGAGAAAGTAGGAGATAACCCTATGTACTATATATATTCACTTTTGAGGAGAAGAGATTGAATTGTTTCAATTAAATGAATCATTTGTGCCTCCACAAAAAATACTTCGTCCCTATATATTTATATTTATATAGTGTGAGAAAACACTTCATTTTTTAGAGAATAAATAAATAAATAATAATTGTTGGGTAATTAAGTCATTTCACACATGAATCAAAATCAAATGGATAGCATAATTATTTTATACCTAAAAGGTAGAAAAAATGTCAATTGGAGTGTAAGTGAAATAAGGAACCACTCTTTCAAACAAGAATGAGAGTTAAAACTAAAATGTTCATCAGAGTGTAATTTACACTTTAGATTAAATATAAATAAAATATTAAAGAGTTCATCAGATGTCACTGTAATTTACGCTTTAGATTAAACATAAATTAAATTTTAAAGAGTAATGTAGACATTTTACTTCTTTTAAGGCAAAATTTGACAGGTAAGTCGTTGTTCAAAAAAATAGGTATCTTTCATTGGCTGTCAATAGGACAAATCAACTGTTACTCCACTTTCCAAATAAATTGGACGCACTGTAAGAGTTGCAACTATCACTTTAAACACAAATGGTTCTACTACCACCACCCTCAATGACAACTTGTGGTAAAGACATGCCATAACATAAAAAAATATAAAAATAAAAATAAAAAACTTACTTTCTTTTGTTCAAATAGCAGATAAGATGAAACTGGCAAGAATTGTATGGGAGAATTTACGCGCAAATTTGATGGAAAAGCAACCAAGAAAACAGGACAATCAATCAGGATTCAGGACACGAGTTGAGAAATAGAAAAATTGAATATGAAAACAGTATATGGTGCACGGCCACTTTGTTTTTAGTACAACAAATATCCTCCTCAGCTCGGCCCCCTACCAGCTGCAAAAAAATGCCTCCACTATCAAATGAATATTACAAAGAAATATATCCACACCCCTATCACAAATAAAAACACAAGAAAAAATTAAAAAGATAAAACAAAATTTGACATTATTTCTGAACTAAATAAACCTTCACTTCAGCCCACCAAACGACGTTTTCTATTTTCAAGAAAGGACATGAAGTGACAAAGAATGATGGTTCAACCCCCACAAACACATTGAGAGCCCAGACCCGCTAGTTTCTGCACCCTCGTCAACCAACCAACTGTTGGCTACAATTTTCCACTTCCACTGTCACCCACAAATCAATAGGAGCCCATTGTTGGCATGCCGAAAGGGGGCATGGGAGGCATCCCCATTCCAGCCATGGGTGGTGGAGGAGCAAAACCTCCTCCCATCCCCGCTCCTCCCATACCCGGCATTGGTGGTGCTGGCAAAGCAAGAGGCAGCAACTGAGCGTACATATTCTGCAATGAACAATGCACAACAAATTAATTAGCTTTTTCCTCTACCAGTATAAAGTAGAGAACATAGTAAACTGCAGACTTTCACTTCATCAAAATCAAGAACAAAAATACTTTAAAGACTCCCATGGAAATGTAGACAAAAATGGTCAACTACTACTGCATGATACTAAAATATTCTCAAAGCAAAAACCTGTTGTGCAATGACATCCTTCTCTTCCTTCTCTTTAACTTTAACTTCACTAAGAGCTTCAAGTTTGTCCTTGATTAGTTCGTCAACTTTGCCCGCGTACTCACGGATAAACTGCAAGAAGCAGCACAAATTAAGAGTGCAACCTATGACATAGACTAGAAATGTCCAATAGATCATGCCATCTCTAATCAAACACAGGATGCAGAAACAGATAAATCTCAACCACCAAACCAATCAGTCTGAAATTCAAGTGCGTAGTAAGTGTGACTGAACTGATACAAGACAATAGACTTGTAGCATTGGGAGTATTGAAAGAGACATTTGGATTAATCCCAAATTATTAAATTTTAATGGGCCAAACTCTAAGCCAGTGTTTTCAGGTTCATCATGAGTTCACAAAAAGATTTGGCTGATTCATTCTTCTAATAAATGAAGAAGCCCTACAGAAGAAGAAAAGAGTTCACCTGCAACAGATATGGGAAGGCAAAATCAATCATATTATTCATCCAGGCAAGTTCAAGAGCCACGTCTGGACGAATTAAATCATAACAAACGAAGAGGCACGACGCAAAGCATTCCTTCTTTCCCTGTACAAGCACATATCCATGTTAATTATTTCAAATTTATATAACTAAAGCCAACAAACTTAGTTCCATACATCATATGAAGGCATGTGTTTCTGATGAAGGTTGTACCTTTTCAATAAAATAAACAAGCAACTCCTCTGCAAGTTCACGATCCCCAGATTGTGAGCATGTCTCCATGGCATCTTTGTAATGATTATCTTTCTTTGACAATGCAATGGACTGCTTCCATCTACCTGCCTTTTTGTAGATATAAGCAGCAACGCGTCTCATCTCAAGAAGCTCATGTTTCTCAATCTGCTCAAACACATACAAGTGGTTTTGTGAAATCAGACTCCAATAACAGATAAAATAACAAAACTTAAATAACACTGAACACAATAACACTTCACCTTCTGAGCAAGACCAATCTGATCAAAATTATCATGCATATCAATTGATTCCCGTAATCTGTCATAGTCTTCCTCCTCAACATATATCTCATTCAAAGCTTCATTCACAGCGGACACGTTGTTGCTCTGAACTGCAACCATGTATGGCTTCACAAGGAGTAGGTGGCCCGCCTGAAACCCGGAAAGGAAAACAATTCAAAACCTCCAAAAAGTACAAGCAAAGTAGTGAAGCAATGTTTGTAACATTTAAACATATTCCAGTATAAGTACAAACCTTTCGCATTATGTCAACGACACGTGTATGATCCACACGAAGTGCGAGCACATTAAGAAGATCATTTATAAGATCAGGGTGCTCTTGTAAGTAGAAATGCACAGCTTTGTAATACAGCTCCACATTAGCAACTTTGACGGCAACATCTTTGAATTGCATGTGATCCCAAGCTTCTGGGGAATGATTCATAATGGTGGTAGCAGCATTATCAAACTCATCATATTGAATATACAAATAGGTGAGTTCCTTCCAATGTTGTTGTTCATCACAAGCACGTATAAGCTTGGGAATGTTGAGACGGGTTGAAAACAGTTTGATATGCTCCATAAGTTTCTCATAACGGTATCTAGCATAAAGGACACCCAACTCAGTAAAGATCCCCATATGTGCACGCTCTAATCCTAAACCACTTTCCATGAGAGAAATCAGCTCATTGAAGCATCCTCTATTCTGGTAATATTCACTGACCTCTTCCAAGTCATCCACCTACAAATTCACACCAATACACCATAAAATTAAAAATAAGAAACAAAAATTTGAATTTTAAACCGAGTAAAAACTGATCATGCAACCATAAATATTAGGTGTAGAATTTAACACCATAGAGAGCTCATTACAAAAATAATAATAATAATAATAATAATAATAATATATATATATATATATATTTTTCATTGATCTAATATCATCTGTAGATTGCAGGCCACGTCACCAAAATAAAGAACCCACACAAAAAAAGGATAAAATAGAACTTTCTAAATTCAAAACTAGAATTTAGAGAAATACACACTTCACCTGTACAATAATGTTGAGTCCACATATCTGAGCCAACCGGAACTCCTCAGCATCAACACAAGCAAAACAAACTTCCTTCCACGTCTTTGAACTATTGGCTTTTCTTGCTGCATCAACAGCACCTTGAAACTGTCTAAGCTTCACAAGCGTGCAGGCCAACTTGGCCCAGTTGGAAATAAAAGCAAATATTATTTTTGCAGCCTCATAAAGGGCTTCATCATACAAGCGATCACCAACATTTGGGAGATTGGCAACATTTGGCATGAGAATAAATTCTTCAATCTCACCCAGCTTATCAATTTTTGCATATGCATAAATAAGCTCACTGTCCACCTTGGGCTCCTTCACCTTCTGCCTAACCATCAGTAGGTACGTCACCAAGTCATGGTAGACATTTGCATCCTGAGCAGCATGAATAACATCTAAGAATTGAGTGGCATCTTCTGCACGAATAAATGACTCAATTGCATCACTAACTAATCCCTCCCTGAGTTGAGCCTTGCCCACTTGACTCCAAACAGCATCTTCTTCAACGCGGAATGCGAACTCGACAGCCCGATCAATACTTCGGATATTATCCAGGAGAACATTGACAGCTTGGACATTCAAGTTGAACTTCTTGAAAATCGCAAAAGCTTCTTCATACAATTGGGCTTCCACAGCCACTTCCCCAACTGCAGGTCCATCAAAGTTATCTAGCCTATTAATGTAATCCATAACTCTGGATGGATCAGCCTTAATGGCTGTCAAGATAAGCAAGTTCTGCAGATTAAAGTTTCCACTGAATGCCGAGTTTTGGAGCACAATCTTTTCTAGGAGTTCAATCAACTCATGAGGAAGATCAGCTGTCATGAAAGCTTTAACAGCCGCAGAAACCTGTTCCGGGCTCTTGCTTTCAGGCAAAGCAGTAGATACAACTTGATCAATGAGCTGTCTTCTATATTCATTCTCAGGGTTAAGAACTTTCTCCCAGAGGTCAGCATCCATTCTTTCAACTACATACCTGAAGTGAAACATTGGGTAAACCACCACGCATCAAATGAAACCATAAATGTTTAACAAATTCTAAATTGAAGCAGTCACAAACCTGGCCTGTAGTTTGAATAAAGAGTTCTTATTTGTTACATTAATAAGTTCATCATCACATTGTCCTCTGCGGTAAGCAACAACTGCAAGGGTGGGATCACGCTTCTCGCAATATTTACCCACAACACGTGAATCATAATACGGATTGGTGGTGAGAAAGTGCTCAGGATTGTTGTTGCTATCTATTATGATTTTACCCAATGCGTTGTGAACATGTACATCTTGGCTTCCCTCACTGACCAGATGCTCCAAGAACTGAGTGAGTAATCGGAGACGATTCCTAAAAACAGCAAATACAGCATGAGGATATGAAAAAACAAGAAAGAGAACTGGAAAGGAAGAGAAGAGAGCAGGGACACAACACCTTTTCTCACACTCCTCCACGAGGGGTTCAACAGGAAGCAGAGAACGGACAGAGAGAATCAGTCCTTTAATGAAATCTTCAGGACACTCATCATCCAGCAGCTGCCCTACAACTAAAGGAGCATTTCCTGGGTTGACCTATCCAAAGAATCCAACAAGAGTTCAGCAGCATATAATAAGAGTTTTCAGTGACAAATGTACCATCCAAGATCCTTATAAAAAATAAAAAATAAAAAATAATAAAAAAAATAAAAAAACTCATACCTTTTGGACATAACCTTCGATGTATCGGAGCATGTTATTCGAATAAAGGTAGTGCGTCAGATCTGGAACAAACCCAAAACGATCACATACGTTAATCAGTGGCCGTGCATCTGGAAGTTTGGCCTCCATTAGGAAGTTCTTTGTCTTTTCAGGGTCATAGAAATTTGATTCTCTAGTAACACGCTCAACTTCCTTGATTTGTCCAGTCTTAGCAGCTGCCTCAATGTACTTGAAATGAATGTCAGGATCCTCACTGCATCAGAAGCCAAAAGATATATATATTAAATATGATCACAAATAAAATTGGCTATAATCCAGCATTAGGAACTTCCTTCTTTTCTGAACAACATACCTGGAGCTTAAAGATGACCCCAAGAAGAAGTACAACCCTTCATATGACTTGAATTGCTCAAAGAGTTTTATGCATGCATCAGCACCCAATTGCTCAGAATATTCCTTGGCAACCTGCAATAGCACAGGTTAGTAAGTTTCAGTAAAAAAGAATAAAACTTTATTCGCATGTAAGAAGACAATAGGTACCTGCACGATTATCTGAAGGTTCCCTCTTAAATTCACCAGTAAGAGGTCCTTCATGCACTCCAGTGCCCATTCCCGTGAAAGTGTCCCAAAGAACTCTACAAGAGACTGCAAAAAAAAAAAATAAATAACATTCAGTACAAATCTCGCGATCTCAAAAACATATAAATAAGCAAAAGCATTAACGGTACATAAACCTGTGGTTCAATTGCATGAGTATTCACAATGACACGTTTGATGTCCGGCAATTCACTGTAGTGCTGCAGAGAAGACAATGCATTATCTCACAGAAGATAATTTTACTCCATCAAAAAGAAAAAATAAAATACTAGAAGTTATTATAATTTTACTCCATTAAAAAGGAAAAATAAAATACTAGAAGTTAACATACCTGAAGAGCACGGACATAAAGACCAGCTTTTTCACAAAGTTGAGCAATTCGAGGACGGTCATAATGACTAAACATCCCATTTGCTAAAATAGCATCCGCCACATTAGGAAAAGTTACAAGATTGATTTCCAGGACCTGCAGAATTAGGTAAATTAGAGAGCTGAAAATATAAACAAAAAATAAATAGAAGTTCCAACCAGATGAAAAAGAAACCTTTGTTTGAAGGTAAGCATGCTCCGGCAAATTGGGCTTTAGAACATCTAACAAAAATGCTGTTGCCTCCCGGATCAGGTTCCTCTAAGTAAAAACAGACAAGTACAAAAGAATCTCAAGTAAGCTTTGTAATTTTGCAACATTAGAATCTCTGTTTATTCTTTATATAGCAAGTGAAAAATGTAGTAAGAAAGGGAAAAAAATAAAAACGCACGAGCGTGCACAAAAAAAAATCAGCACACTATTTAGCTGAAAGGATTTAGATGGATGACCGTAACACAGAACTAATTGACCTCAAAGATTCAAGTAGATAATTAAAGAATTGCATATTAAAAAACCTGAAGAAAGAGATCTGTTATTGTATTGTAATCAACTGGACAACCTCCCTCCATTTGAGACATCATCAAGGCAAAATTAACAGCTCCCTGCAATTCAAAAACATGTTACCATTTCAGCTGAAAAAGTGAGGTTCAAAATAATAAGAAAAATGCAGCTTGCCAATACATGAATAGAACAAAGAAAGAAAAAGAACAAAACAGAACAAAAACAAGATACTTAGAATATTCATTACACTTGATAGTTTCAGCCTAAATATAAGAACATTGGAATGCTACATGATTTGGAAAAATATTCATAATGTTATTATCTTATGGTGGCTTTGACTTGTAGACATGTAATAACTAATAATTAAGCAAAAGACTATTTGCAGAAATTTCTATGCATACCTGAGGATCTGATCTCAGAATAGTTTGCAGAAGGAACAGATAATCAGGTGTATATCCAACCTATATCAGGCAAAGAACCATAACACAATTACATTAGAAAACAGAAAAAAAAAAAATTAATAACAGTGAGAAGCAGCCCTGACACATTATTCCTTGAACAGTAGACACTCCTAAAAAGAAATTGTGCTAAAAAGAAGTTACATTAAGCACATAACTCACCTGCTTAGAGTATATCAGAATTTTGTCAAACTCTCTCCGCTCGGCAAAGGCCGCAACAACTTTTGGAGTTGCTCTGGCTTTAATATATATTTTCAGTGCAAGGTCATTGTCCACAGTCTACAAGAAAATGATAACTGATATAAAAAAAAAAGATATTAACAGAAAAACTCTAGCTCAACAGCAGAGTAATAGTGTGCAAATGAGACAATCTGTTTTACAAGTTTTAATGTCAAATTGCCAATCAGACCTTTACAAGGTCTCCAAGTTCTTCACTACATTCCAGCTTGTCCTCGGCCAACCAATTCTCCAAAAGATTCTTTTTATTCTGATTCACAACTAGGCGTGACAATTCCAATGACTCAAATGCATTAAGCTTCCCTCTCGTTAGAAGTGTACCAAAGTACTGCAACAGAGGTGGTGTTTGCCCAGCTTGCACAGGAACGCTCTGCATATAAGACACAACACAAAATAAGGTATTCTGCACCTTTCCTACATTACACCAAAGCATTAGAAACATATAGAAATAATCAGTGCTGATATTCTCAATTTTGTTCCATTGCATCCCACTTCAACAAAAAACTTCCATTTCTAATTTTCTGCTGGAAACTAAAGAGAAAAGCTCCACTACACACGCCTGCCATTCTTTCACCTGGATTCCATCAGTCGGTCCATATCAAGCCATTTTCATCCATTAATATCAATTTTGGTCATTATTTAACCATATAAATTATGTTAAGCATTTTTTTAACCATTTCTTGAGAATCCAAAACAATGTAAAACTCCAAAACCTATGTTACCCAGAGTCGGGTACGGGTGTCGGACACGGGTACGTGTCTAGGGGTCGGATTCGTCAATCTATCAATTTTCAGGATATGGGGACACGGATTAAAAGTGTCCAAATGTTGGACACGGGTACTTGGACACTTTGAAAAGAGAGAAAAATTTGTAAGTTTTTTTTTATGTTTGAGACATTAATCATAAAACTAAAAAATATATATATCAATTGTACTTTTTTATAAAAAATTTATAATTATTACTGCATTTGTTTGCCTCATTTGATTTGTGGCATGTCATGGCTATGCATTCCCCTGTTACTGCTATTTTATGGAACCTGTAAATAAGAAATTCTGAACTGTAGGGCTTCTTTTGTATACCCAAGGGCGGGTTTGGGCTTGGGCTAATATGCCTCTGTATGTGCATCTTGGCATTTGGGCCTGTACAAGTCACAGCACGATTAAAAAGAATGACTAATTCAATATGGGCTAATATGTCTTTTTGTGCATTTTAGTCATTGATTGATGCTTGGGTTTTGGGCCTGCACAAGTCCAAAGCACAATTAAAAAGGAGGCCCATTCAATGTACATGGTATTTATAAGAGTACTGTAAAAAGCAAAGTTACAGGCTTACAACTGTAACCCACCACAGTAATGCTTTACAGCTGTGTCCCATCCCTTATCTTTTAAGATCCAAATAAACAGGTGTTAAGTTATTAACAATTGCGTGAAACCACGCTCAAGATGGCACAAAAAATTGAACAAAAGCCAGCGCGTGCTAGTTCACAAACAGCAAGTGTCTTCAACCTCCAGACCACCGATCCGAACCAGAACGCCATTGTTGAAATAGAAAGCTTCGTATGGCTACAGATTTAACAAAAAAACACGAAAAAAATTCCTGATCCTTCACAAGCATCAAACTACACATCATTTTATGTATTTTCTTGGTCAGCCGTGTCCGATTGAAGAATGGAGGGTCAGACGCATATCCCGTGTCCGTGTCCGTGTCGTGTCGTGTCGACACGGGCACTCTGGCCTTCACTGACGAGTCCAGGTAACACAGTCCAAAACCAGACCTCATAAACCAACAATTGCTCCGCTTGTACAACACATTTCAATCCAATTCCAATTCAGCAGAACCCAAGTGACTGGCATCAGGATGAAAAAGGATCTTGAATAATAGAGTTGACTAATGTGATCCGAAAGACTCATCGTTCAAATTATTTGTGTTTATCCAAAATGAAATAGACCACCACAACCTTCCATTAAAACCCTAAGGACATTCCTTCATTGATTTAACTACAGAGCTATTGTTGCTACTCAGTAGATTTACAATCCTAAGCATATGAAAACAAATGAGCAATTGTGGTCCGTCTACTTGGCCAGGGCGTGATTAAACCTTTTGAGATGCGCACACAAAAATAAATCTGTACTCACATAGGTGCTCCAAATATGGTGCGTGACTCGATAGTTGACCAGAGGTCACTGGTTCAACTCGTATACCCTGGAACAGCCATACAGACAGGGTCTGCAAACCACCTCACTTACAGGAGTAAGGGGATTTGAAATCACCTGCTGCAAAGAGAGGGATAACAACCCCCACCCCCTTAAAAGCACCCAACAACACACGATACCACCTACCACATGCAATAAATATGACGTACATGCAAACACAGATTTTCTTGTACGGCATTTTTAATTAATTCGGGAACAATATCATGCTATGAATGCAACACTCTCTCATATTATTAACCCTCCTCCATATTTTGAGACTTTAATGTATATATTGTATAGTATTCATCAACTTCCAACTTTAAAGGACTCTATAATTTTCAATCTAATCTAAAATTTCAATCTTGATAGCATATCCGCTAATGCAAAGAACCCAAATTTGACATCCATAAATTTAACACATATATACTACTGCAATATAAAACAGATACCTGAAATTTAGCAACTGTGTCAGGTGTGCGGAGAATTCCTTGTGGGGATTCTGCAGCAAGTTCAGCAGCCTCCTTATACTTGGTTTGAGCAAACAATTCTTGGAACCGTTGAACGACCTAAGATATATCCCAGATGGCAGGATAGTAAGTTATTACTTCTGTTATGCCAGAAAAAACTACTAAAATTATCAATATATTAGAAAATATTTGTATGAAGCATCTGACACAAATTTTAATTTCCCCTCGCATGTGTTGATGAGGGAGCAGAATCAAATGAACTAGAAAGATCTAGGAAAATCAATTGGTGCATTGCTTTTCTGATGTAAACCTAATAGAGACTGCACTTTCTACATGCAATCCAAAAGCATGCCAACTAGCAAACAGCAGGTGACTAACAACAGACCAACCTAGACTACTACATTTGATATTCTGAAAGCAATGCACCAATTGATTCTAAAGAGAGCATCACAAAGCAGAAAGATTCTAAAGAGACAAGAATAAAGCATCAACTCACCAAATTCTCAGCGCCAGGTAGGTTTCCTCTTTTGGCAAGATTGACTGCAAGCTCAAGATTGTTCAACTGTAAGAATAACCAGAGAACATTAGGTAAACAAAATATTTTAACATAATTTTAATCTTTTACTATAGAATGAAACAAGCAAGCTCAAGTAGCACCTGGCCACTGACAAAAGGCACAATAGTTGCTTCATTTACAGTAGCGAGCAACACCTGGCCTCGCCTGTTGATGGCATAGAAACCTCCAGCTGATGAAGCTTCTGACGTCAGAAAAATTGGATCTGGACTAATCCTATTTCTGTATACTGCAGTAGCAGTTTCCAGGTCATACACAAATAGAAGTCCAAGCTTGGTTATCACATAAATCAAACTATACTTGTGGGATATCTGCAAGAATAATAAAAGAGAATATCGTATTAAACTCCAATTTACTATACCAGGGACAACAAATAGCAGAGGACATACCTGCATCGCAACTGGAAAGTCATCAGCGAAGTCAGGAGGAAAGAAGAGATCTGCCTGTTTCTTTGTGAAAGATGGTCTCCCTGCAGGCAAAAGCATGGTTTAAATAATATAAAGTTTACAACCAAAGTAGCATTCTGATTTGACAATAATATGCTATCAGAATTGCAATATATACTGCCATACTGGGGAAAAGTCCAATAGAAACATCCCCACAGGTATAAGATAGTTCAAAATTCAGAAAACAAGCATAACAAGCATAGTGATCCAAGCAACAGTAACAGATCATGATTTTATTAAATACCGAGGCAAATACCATTTCCCTTGCTAGCACAATGGCTGATGCACATATATGCAGCAGCATTTTCATTGCATAGTGACTAAAATCCTTTAAAAATCCCCAAACCACCTTACCCCCAGTTCAAACTTTGCATGAATGGACCATTTTCTTATAGTGCACATGATTAAACTGACTTCCGACAACAACTTACCAAGAATCACAGAACTTTTCAGTTGAATTGCCTGGCCAACTTGAAACAATATAACTGCCATATGTAATTCTTTTTGTATCTTAATGTAAGTGGTTTTTGTATCCTTAATCATTTCCGTTTATATTCACCCTAAGTTCTATTTAAGCACCCTACATATCATTAATCTGATAGAACCGAATAAAACCAGCCGGCCACACAAATTAACAAGTGCACCTGCCAGTGAGCCCCTTCAATTTATTACTTGGATCATTTTAGTCAAAAATCCAGGACACAACACTCTGGACCACCCTACTTGGCTAGTTTAAGCCACGCCAGAATGAATCATCAGTTGAACTAACATATCTAATAACCATAGGAAAACAAAAACAGTACTAAGCTTTAGGAGACTCAAACCATACCATATCAAATAGTTTGCAATGCCTATAACCACCAGTGCACCATTTCTTTCTTGATATTTTTTCCCATCACAATTTTTATAATACAGGATTATGTAGAAACGATTTAAAAACATTCAACATTATGCAGAAATGATTCCACATGAAATCAATTTTTATATTTAAAAACATTCAACATTATGTAGAAATGATTCCACATGAAATCGATTTCCAGAAAGACCCCCTCATCAGGTTGCCATACTGTTTGGTTTTGATAAATATGCGTGTCACCCTAATTAAGCAATAGTAGGCTATAATACAGAAAGAAAGCATCACTTAATATACCAATATCAAATATCCTTTTCACTTTTCAAGGGGTTGACCAGTATCCATTATGGATCTGATGCGGTAAATAGAATATAAGTTGAGCTTTTGGCTAGAAGGCTAAAAGTACATAAAGATATGCTGAGACAACAACCTCATCATTAAATATATTAAATTCAAAAAGAAACTAAGAGATAAAAGCAAAAGATAAGAAATATAGTAAATGGACCTGGCTGGGCACCAAGCTCAATAACATGCAACTTTGATGTAATTTGTCCAGCATTAGAGCTCTTTGTGGCAAACGAAATAAGAACAGAAGGATTTTCATTCCCTGGGACCTGCACAAGACATAGAAATAGAAAAGATACAGAGTCATGGAACAGAAAGGGCATAAAACTTGTGTATGCAAAAACTAATAAAGGAAAAATCCGCACTTTGAACGAGGCAAATGATGCGGCATGTGCTTCAAGAGCTTGACTGCGCTGCTGATCCACAGAAAAGAGTTGCATATTTCCTTTCACAAGTTGCGGTCTCTAAAAACATAAACAAGACGTGGATATCATTATTCAAACTAGGTTACAATAAAAACAGAAAAGGGAAAACGCCATTTCCAGCAAGTAACTAAATAGGAGCTACTCCTCCATCCACATCCTAGAAAATTTATGAGAACCATAACTTCCTATAAGATATTAAGATGATGTTGTCAGTGGCTGGTGGAGAAAGCAAATAGAAGCAACCTGATTTAATAAGACTGGCATCTATACTGATACTCAAATCAAATTGTCACTAAGTTCTATATTTTGAAAATTCCCATAACCATGGGCAGAGCCAGAAATTTTCGGTTAGGATGAGGTGGGTGGGTTTGGATTTTTTTTTTTTTTTCTAAAGAAGAAGGGTGGGGGGAAGTAGTACCACCTTATATTCAAAATTTAAAAGAAATATATAAAATTATTATAATATATTTTCCTTACAGTCTTGTGGTCTACTGGTTGCACAAGTTTAGTGAGGGTTTCATCACAACCTTTTCTATTCTTAGTATGACCTAAACAATAAGTAACATAGAACCTACAAAATGAGGAGGAGGAGGGGGGGTCCTTAGATAAGACAGAGAAACTAATACAAAAGAGGGAGAAAAAAAAAAAATAAGAGGGAGAAGAACACGTTGTCAGCCGATAAATGAGGTTGTCAAATGACAAAGATCCCTCTTTTTCTCTCTTTAAATTTATGTAAATAATATATATGTTGTAGCAAGTGTTATCACAATAATGGAGATTTGGATTTCTTAAAGCAAGAATAAAAAGGTTTTCAACAAAATTCCGAAGGGCCATATGTAACTTTCTATTTCAAATTCACCCGTAATAATTATTAAGAGGGACCAAAAAATAAGGTTTTTCAACAAAATTTGGGAGGACTGTATGTAAGTTCGTATATTTTTTTTCAAATAAACCATTAAAAATTATTGAGGAGGACCCTAAACAAGGTTTTTCAAAAAACAATTGGAGAATGTCATTAATTATTGTTTATTAAAAGAATATCCTTCTTGTACTTAGATACTGATATGAAATAGCTACCATAAATACACAGATTACACTAAAAAAAAAAAAAAAGATTACATAAATAAATAAACCATCCATCCCAGTGGGAAAGCACATAAGGAAGCTATTACAACATTAGCATACTGATAAGAATTGGCAACCACATATAAAAAAATTACATTCAAGATAACATGTCCATACAAATAATCCATCCATCTTCAATAGAATATATAGAATATATTACACAAACATGGTTTTTAAAAATTATATGAATACGGGGGCGAAAACTAACAACCCCCCACCGAAAGAAAAAAAGTAAGATGCAGCAAAGTAAACAATTCATACACAGCTGATTCCAAATCCTATAAAATAATTTAACATACAAAATCATAGCCAAATAAGCATAAGCATTGGAAAAGGTAACTGTATACCTCTGGTGAACCAGGAGCAATTCCAATTAAAACCAACCACTTTTCCGTAGGATCGCATCGATAATTGATTATCTGATTATTTGCTAAATTAGCTGTTCTATCAAACATCTTTACGGGCTCAGAATCACCTACATGGAAGATGTTGAGAGAATCATATTACAATGAACGTTAAAGCATAATGTATTCTGTTATTCATCAAAGGAGAAAATGTCAAACCATAGGGCAACGTGTTGCTAGTTTAGGTAAAGAAAGGAATCTTACCTTCAATTGACCAATGATAAACGGAGGTTTGCGTGACAAGGCCCAGCAATTTTGGGCTAATCCACTTCCAGAAGACAACCTATAAATGAAGCAAAAAGAAGACTGGTTATACTCAATCTAATAAAAAAACAATGAGATCGTCAACGAAACAGATGCGTGAAAACAAAATAAAGTTTTCACCTGCTCAGGCATCTGATGTGACTTCATTTTTGCTTTCATTTCAATGTTAAAGATCTGCAAGTGATCCTGGGTAGTTCCGGATAGTTGAGCTTCAAAAGAATGACATTTCATGAGCTCGGAAACGCACACATATTATACAAGAACTATACAGCTTTAAGTTTTTGTAGCATGGCCATAATAAACATAGATTTTTGGCAACACTGACTATTTATACTACACTAGGAAATGTACACATATTTATCACACCAATGAATGATACACAAGTTCTATTTTCTGACTCGTCCTATGGATTTGCTGGAAGGACGTAATATAATATCTAGTGGAGATATATATCTAGGAAGACAATTATTCTATCACGCAATTGCCATTTTAAAAAAAAAAAAAAAAATTGTACAATACTGAGGTCATCATGTCCAATTAGACCAGGGTAGTAGTATTATATAGAACTTTACCGCATATTAGTATTATGTCTTTCAAAACTTCATTGTTGTCAAGACAAAAATAAATATACAAGGGAAAAAAAAAGGAGAAGCAAGAACTATTGGGTGAAAAAATGATGCTTCTTCTTAGTATCTTACTGGCATATATTATTTACAATTTTCAAGCCAAATTTACAATCCTAAAGTAGGAGCAACTACATCAATGTGCTTATCTCATCCACACACTTTATAAACAAAAACTTAAATTGAACATAGTTGACTATAATATTAATTTTCAGGTACCGTTGAGTTGAGAAAAGTAACACTTATACAACATTGATATGTAAATAGATTTATGAATAGGGACATGGAGATTTAAATGCATAAAATGACTTAAAAAGAACCCAACAAAGACATCAATACCTTTCAGAGCTAGAATTCTGGAATTAGGATTCATAAGAGCCGAATCCGCAGTAATAGGCCTCCTCAAAGGTTGCATTGGCATACTCATATCAACAATTACAACACTGTTCTGTGGTGAGGTTTCCCGAACACATATATACTTATCAGATTCCATAGTAACATGCGTGAAGGTTATAAATTGTGGGTTGATCCCAATGCTCGGTAACTGCAATAACATCACACCAATTCATTCATACCAAGTCCAAATAATATTCTCAAGATCCAGTGTTATATAAATAAATTCCTAGTGCAACTCAGCAGCATTCATGAAGTTGCAAATGAATTAATCGTCTAATTTACAGATCTGTAAGCAAGCTAAAACACCCCACAGAATTATACCCATTATATCATCGATACTAAGCGAACAACAAAAAAACACAGTAAATACAACAAAAATCGAGCAAGTTTAAGATATCGTAAGAGAAAAACATAGAGGGAATTTAAAAAGTAGCAAAATCTTGAGAAATTTTAATCATTTGAAGCAAGATTGAATGACTTGAGTTGAAAGTAGAGTTGTTGGTGCGAATTGAACCAAAATTCGAAGAAAAAAAGTTTTGAGTCTTGGTGAGGAGATGAATTTATTACCGTTAAGGCCTCTTTCATGGTGATCGGAGCATTAGCGGCCGCCATGGTGGCGAGATCGAAAGTTTGAGATGAGAACTCAGATCTGTGAGTTGGGATCGAGAGAGGCTAATCGCTGCTGCGAGATCTGATGCAGCGAATAAACCCTTGAACCCTCCGAGCAATATAGAGAGAGAAAATGAGAGATCTAGAGAGAGAGAGAGAGAGAAGGGGGTGGGGAGGGTTCCGACTTTAGAAGAAAGAGAGATTTCTATTGTTCTATATAACAAGAAGACTCGTCATACGATTATGATTTGGGATCTGTAAGCTGAGAGGGCCTTCGGGTCAGAATAGCGAAAAAAAAAAATCAGTAGTGGCTGTTTGGCTGTACCTGTTGTGTAGAAAAAAAGTGAGCGTCTGAAAAGTCATAAATATATTGCTTGAAATTTCGTATTTAAAATATTTTTTATAAATTTAATGGTAAAATGCAAAAAAAAAAATACTTCCTGAATTATTAGCATAGTGCAACTAATACCCTTATAAAAAAATATAAAAAAAATCTAAACCATTGATTTGTTGCATTTCTGTCCATTCCGGAAAGTAACTTGGTCGGAAAATCAATGGAAAACTCAATCTCTTTTCTAGGAGGTAAGTCCAGCAAGTCTTCCGAAAAAACATCCAAGAAGTCACAAATAACCGTCGGATAAATCTCCTCCACACCTTCTTCTGGCTAAAAGACTAGCCAAGAAGTAGTCACGATGATCTCGCTCGCGAATCCCGTAAATGTCGAAGTGTGGGAATCACTACGGTCCCCCACGAAAAAGAAACAATCTCCCTCGGGAGTACAAACTGTGACTCTTCTACAGAAACAATTAATCGTGACGCAAAAAGATGCTAACTTGTCTAACTTGAGAATAACGTCAAAACTAATCATCTCAAAGAGGATAAGGTCAAACACAATTGTCCATCCAGCTATCACAATAGTGCAACCCCTCACAACTCTGCTCAAGGACAATGAACCACCAAGTGGCGTATCGACACACAATGCCCGATCTAGGTAATTGACCTCTAAACCCAATGTAAGTGCAAATGAGGATGAAATGAAAGAATGGGATGCAGCAGAATCAAATAGAATATGAGCCCAAAAACCAAACACTGGAAATATACCTCGAAGAACTGATGGACCCCGGGGTGTGTTGGCTGGAACAATGGAATAGACACGACCATGAGGTGCCTATGCCTGTGAACTGCCAACCTGAATACCCGACCGTTATGCGGTCATAGTAGGAGTACCCCTTCAATCAGGGCGTGAACTCTGAGAAGACATAGTAGGCTGTTGTCGTCGTGGTAGTCTAAAACCTGACTTAACTGTAGCTGACTATATTGGCCTCTATTATGAACCCTTGCCACTACATGTGCGTCCACCCCGATGTTAACAATCCCTTGCCCTATGGCATTCACCTTGTTAATCAAATGACCCTAATCCATTTGTTTTGATGATAACAAATCATTTAAAGAGGTTTTATATACTAATATTTCAACTGAGTTTAAATGTAAGGAAAATGAATGCTTCTATAAAAGGGAAGAAGGGAACTTCATGACATGATGTGGACTCGGATACACATACTTAAAATATTCAAAGGCTGCAAGTGTTCTACAAGAATTCATGATTAACTAAAAGCATCAAGACGAATAAAGGTAGGTAGGATGGTGAGAGCTATAGAAAATCTTGTTAAAGTAAAGGATGAAATTTATTGAAGCTCAAAATCACTGATACCATGCATACAATTTGTACTTAATTATATTCATTGTATCAAAACATGATGTTTACAAAGCATAACCAAAAAGGGCTCAAAACTAAATAATCAAGTTATGTACGTCGACACCTACTAAGCTCATGTCAACCGGTATCTAGGCAGTAGCAAAATCTCAAAAAGAAGGTTATTTGCGTTGATTGGTTCGTAACATACATCAACTGGTTTAAAAAGAAGATGTCAACCAGTTTGTAGTATACATCAACCGGTTCATGCAAAGAGGTCAACTGGTTTATGCCACATGTCAACCGGTTTGGTCGCAGCTCTGCAGATTCAAATCTTAAACGGCTAAAAATTCATTTAATGCTCCTAACCACCTGCAACAACTCTATTGAACTCGAAATCTCTACGAATACAGAGGGTTGGTCTGGAGATAAAGTACACCACTTGAGAGAACATTCTATAAGATCATCAAAGTGCATTCAAGAGCATTCAAAGAGCCCAATAGTCTGATCTGAGCATTTACTTCTCATTTATTCCCTCATATCAGTTTAGAGACTTGAGCTTCATTTATTTCATCCTCTTACTCTAGTGTGAGATTGATTCATGTAACATTTTCTATAGAAAGAGAGAAACAATCTTGTAACTTTCATTTATATCTCTACAATCTTGCAAAGGTTGGTGTGACCCAAAAAGGGAAAGCCTAGGAGAAGGGTGTTCTCCTAGCAAGGAAGAGAAGCAAGGTCTTGCTTCAATTGAAGGTTTGCTCTCCACCATTAAGGAGAAGCTCTAGTGATTTTAGGAAGTCTCAAGAGGGACCTTGAGCCAAGGAGTAGGAGTTTTCAAACCTCGCTAAATCGCCGAGTCATTATTTTCAATTTCCTATCTCTATCTCTTTTTACTTGTGCTTACAGTGCTTGAATATTTCAATTGATTACTGCATAATAGTTAGTTGGAAATAAATTTTATAAATTGCAAAAATTGGCCATTGACTCTATTCACCACTCCTCTAGAGTCAATTAGTGGTTAACAATTGGTATCAGAGCCTAATCTCTAGAAAATGAATTAATTATCTTAAAGAATGATCATGGCCAATACAAATTTTCATCAAGAAGGTCAATCTAACAATAGACCTCCTTGGTTTGACGGAAATGATTACAATTATTGGAAAATCAAAATGAGAGCATTCCTAAAAGGTGTAGATATAGATGTTTGGAAAGCCACCGAACAAGGAGACTATATTCCGACCAAAATAGTAGATGGTGAAAAAGTTCCTACAACCGATATTGAATGGACCCCAAACATCTGGTGGTTGTGGCGAGTGAGAGAAGCTGTAAGGTCAGTCTGCAATGCTCCGAGCTCACGCCTCACCTCGGTTACATCTGCTCTCAAATCATCGTGCTTCCTCAGTAAATTATCATGTCTCCTCACCAGATCATCATACCTCCTCGTCATATCTTCATGCCACCTGGTCGCATCAGCTCTGAATGAAATGAAGTCTATGTGCAACTAAAGGACATCGGATTTGTAACTAGAATCAGTGCTGGCATATCGGGATCGAGTGTCGGTTTGTGCTATCGGCTCGATGGGAGGGACAAAAGAGGGGTCATCCTGCTGAGATGTAGTGGGTACATCTGGCTGTGAGGTGGAAGTGGCAGTAGTAGTGCGACGCCTCTGTCTAGGAGGAGATCTATCAACATCATCCTCTAGGGCTGCCTTATTTGCTGCTCTCTGCTGCTCATTTTGTCTTTTCATATCCCTGTTCTTCTTATTCTTAAGGCAAGAATTGTAGGTCTTTGTCCACCTGGCCTAATCATAGGCTCTTTTATCTCTCTTTATATCAGTCTCTGGAATCTCATCTGGGTCAAATTGATAACCCTGATTAAGTAGCAGCTGAGTAATCAAGTGGCCATAAGGTAAAGGCCAAGCTACAGCTCTAGAATTCTGCGTATGATGCAGATTCTTCTAGAACTTGTGGATGAGCTCCCAGATGAGCGCAGGAACAAAAATCCAATAACCCTAGCTCAAACAGCATATGATGAGTGCTCAAATGTGACACATTTTAGCACCTAAGGAAGGGTATTTTAGTCCATTCATCTATCTTTATTTTCCCGTTTTAGTATTTATTTGTGTTTTTGTCTATTTCAGGTTAATAAGGTTCAAACGGGCTAAAAATGGTCTATTACAGCCTTTTTGGAGTCAAACAAAAAGTTCCTAGAAGATTTTAGAAAAATCCGAAAAAATGTCAAAAATGTTGAAAATTTGGATGGATCGAAGTTTCGATTGATCGAAAATGTGCTGGCAGCGAGCTGTTTTATTCCCGCGCATCCGAATTCCACTTACCACATAGTTGCGGGATTAGATATTTTTGGGGCTGTATTTCTGACTTAGTGACTAAGAAAAGGACCTTGTATTTAAAGGGAATTGAACCATTTTTGTAATATATATCTTTAGTTTTTAATTTAATTTTATTGTAATTTTTATTTTCTCTTTCTAGAAAAGTTAGAGATTGGGGTTAGAAGAAAAGAGAAGAGTGGAGGCACCAAGAACACATCTCAATATCTACACACACTCTCTCTCTAGAATTCATCAAAGAATAAGAGAAAGAAGATGGAGCCATGTTTGGGGATTGCCCTTGAGGGTTCTAAGATCACACCCACCTCCTCCATGATTGGCTAGACTTCTCCTTAGGGCTTAGATGAGCCCCAAGTTTGTAATCTAAACCTCTATCTCTTTTATACTTTTTGGGGAATAATATCTTGTGATTAATGTCTTAACCTTGTGAATTTAATGAATCTTGGGTTATCCTTTGATTTCTATGGATTAATTCTTTCTATTGATTCTCTATGTGATTACATGTTGTCTTATGTGTGATTATTTGGGAAATGATCTCTACACTAGTTTTTCTATATTAATTGCATGTCTATGTGTGGTTAATTGATAATTTAGTGATGGCTAGACATGGGTTTTTTTATTAGATAGGTTTGTCAATTAATTTAATGGATTATATTTATACTTGATGGACTATTCTACAATTTAATTCATGCTTGTAGGTAGGTAGACAATCTACACTTGATTTGATATTTCATGGCTTATTATTGCAAATTCCATGATTTTCTAGATTAATGTGTGCTACAATTTTGACTAGTTTGATGGGTCATGCTTAGAATTGATGGGTTGTTCTATACTTAGTTTATTTGTCGGTTAGGTAGACAATTCATTCTTTAATTTGATGGTCCATGCTTAATATTGCAATTGGTAGTCGCATTTTGTTCACAAGAATGTTTTTCCCAAATTAGTTGAAAGTGTGTGGTTTGGTGAACGAGCTTGGTGGCGATTCCAATGCACCCCAAGACTTCACTTCTCATCTCTTAAATCCCTATCTCAACTTAGTTTATTTTAATTGCATTTTAATTAATTGAATTCTAGTGTAATCAAACAATCAATCTCTCATTTGCAATCTTGTGATCCACTAGAGTCGAAGTTAAATTCCAACATGTATAATCCCTTGGGACGATCCCTACTCACTCTTGCTACGTTAGTAGTAGTAGTGGTAGTGGTTTTTATAAATTTAAACTTGACCTAAAAGGCCTTTCT